TAGAAAGATAGAACCCCCCGGGAGAGTGCCACTGACTGAAGTATCTTTAGGAAATTTCCAAAGGGGGAAATTTCTCGTTTATGCACAGTAGAATTGTAAAAGGGCTGATTCATCAATGTCACGCTCATAACTGTGCCTGATCTACAACAGGGAACTGCTGCTTTTTCTTTCCTAATCCTTACTATTGTCAGTTTCCTCTACTTCTTTTGTATGTTTGTCACACTCTTGTGACCCATTATTTCCGGGGTGCCTTGATAGTCGAAGCAGACTTTGTGCTGTTGAAGCTAGAGAGGTGAGCAGGGGGAGTCCGATTCCCTGTAAGGACTTCTCCGTTGACACCCACCCCTTGGCGCTCATGTGACCTTATGCAGTTGCGAGCGCCGTAAAACCTCTTCTAAAAAAAGGGGAAATAAAGAATGACAGGATTCTATCTGAGTTGCTAAGATAATGAGGTGAGAAACCAAATTTCTATCTATTCTATCCAATTCGTACGATTATCCATAGTCGCTATCAAGATATTAAATGAATTGTATTCGAACAAGCCATCTCTCTCTCTCTCTCTCTCTCTCTCTCTCTCTCTCTCTCTCTCTCTCTCTTTGTGTGTGCGTGTGTGTTCTCCACTCTTATTTGTCTATGTTGTACAACTTCTATAACATAAACAAGTTTGTTACGTAGTTAAATCCTCATTTCCTCAAACAGGGATTGTCTCCGGCCTCAAACAAAATTCCTTTCAAATTAAAATGCTCTGTGTTCTACTCTTTGAGTTTTTTAAACACTCTAGTAGGTTTTTCAATACAACGAGCTGAGTCTCAACCGTTTAGAAACTTCAATAAAAATTCAAAGTCTCACACACTTACACCATTGTACATCACACATCGTGGGTCTACAGGAAAGATGTCACTGGACACACATGTCACAGACACGGTGTTGTTGTTGTTGTTTGTAAACTCTGGGCTCCTGCACGTGAGGTCTGTTGGTTTTGCTGTTGGACAACAGAAATATAACTTCTATTTACAACGTGACCGTTTTAAGCATCGGAAAGAGAAGACATTAATTTAACTATGCACTTGCAGTAAAAAATCTTTGTCACTCTCCCGTAAAGGCGAGAGCTCAACCCGACAATATCCCCGGAGACTACATATGCACAGTTAGATGTTAAAGGGTATTCTTCAGCAAAATAATCTAGACCTATATTGGATACCATATTATGCTGACCTTCTCACTCTAGTCAGGAAACGCAGACTGCAATGGTATGGACACATCACGCGTTCACCGGCCTTGTCAAGATGATCCTGCAAGGCAGCGTCCAGGGGAAAAGGAGCAGAGGCAGACCGAAGAAGAGTTGGGAGAACAACATCAAGGAACGGACAGGCCGGGAAATCAGAGACACGCTCAGGAACGCTGAAAACCAGAGGGAGTGAAGGAAGCTGGTGGCCAAATCTTCAAAAGTGCCCCGACGGACATCCAGTCAACAGGATAGGAGAAGGTGAAGGTGATATAGGAGAGGTTAAGGTGAACATTATGGGCAAAACTGGAAGACGGACTCTGCGTATGATCTTGCTTTACTTTGATACAATCACCAACAAAAGATCGAGAAAAACGAAAGATTGTGTAAATACCTCGTAGGATACAGGCCTTAAAAGTCTAGTTCAGAACTCCCTTCTCATAATAAATTGGAGTCGTATTCCTTACATGACGTCATAGCTACCGCTATGATGGCCCCACCGAGAGTGAAGGTCCCGGATGTGCGTGGTTGGTCAAGTCAGTTCCGATTGGAGAAGTAGGATTTTTAATAGTGAGGTCAAAAATTCGTAGAGCAACATTATTGTCAAATGTTTCCTCGACTATCGAACAGTCTCTCCAGCTTTTGCACAATGACTTTTATCTATTTGTTTTAACAGATCAATGTTTTTGTTAACTCTTGTTAGCTGTATTCTACAAAATTCCCTAATAAATGCTAATTAAAAATCCAAGTGAGTGGTTTCTACAGATTTTAAAATATTAAATTTACATTTCGAGCAATATCGCTTTAAATAGCAAATCCGTAAAAAAAACAACAACACCCCACAACCCGAAACCCTGTCATTATTGAACCCATGTTTGAGAACCTTCAGTGCAAAAAAGTGTTCAATGAAAAAAACTAAATTTCTTGAAACAAACTTTGCCCCCCCAAAAAGTGTCATTGGCGATCTGTGATGTATACGAACACTTTACTACTCACATGTACATTTGCATAACTCACACACACACACACACACACACACACACACACACACACACACACACACACACACACATCACACAATACTCACAATAAGTAACTAGGGTCCAACTGGCTATCAAAGCTCTTGTGGGACCTGCATTCTGTGAGCAAGACAGAGACAAAAACCTTGTGTCAGCGTTCCATGTGAGTGTAGTCTGTGTCTGGTCTGTTGTCACGGTGAACAAGGAAGAAAACCCCGAGGACACAGTACAGCTGTAAAGTCCTTGATTTGTCACACACGTTGCTACTGTTCTTTTTACTGTCGCCAGCTGCACTTCCCACACCAAGTTAGTACCAATGCACCAGTGTTGTACGCACATGTACGAGAGATGCTCGTCCCCACCTCTGTAGGGCCCAAGTCCTCACCTGATGATGTAAACACACACCATACATGTAAGTGTATTTTTTGTGTTTATTTGTCTATTTGTTTGTGTTTTTGTTCGTTTGAGTAAACAGAAGCACATCGAAAAAAAAATAAGGATCATTTAATGCTGGGGAAAAGTAAGACTGACAGACAGACAGAAAAACGAGGGGAAGTAAAGAAGTACAATGTAGAGCCTGCTGGTTGCGCCCTCTAACCACCCGTTATGTGGGCGTGAGCAACAGACACCGGTTAAATGATATGATAAGATACATGTTTCTTTATCCACGTGTATAGTCTTAGTGGGAAGATATTCATAATTTCAAACTCATTCAAGGACAATTAGTATCCCTTATCAACGCTTATCAATAGTAAAAAATGTGTCTTGGGCAAAAGCTTATTGACTGCCATATTATGGGATGGAAGAGAGTGGTATGTGCTTGTTCTGGTTAATACTCCTGGGATTATTGGAAAGCTGGGTTTTGCTGCTGGGCGTCCATGTCAGATAGGATTCACAATAAAATTGCACATTCCTCGTAATAGTTAAAGTTACTATTTATGCGTTTTCTTTGAGCTCTAGAGCTCCCTATGAACAACAATTTTCTAGATCTGAAAGTGTGTATTCCGATTTGGTGTATTCGGGTATTAAAATGAGATTGAACTTTGAGATCTCTTTATAATTAGTGTAAGATTCCAGCCTCAGGTTTTTTAGGAGGTCAAACCTTTTTTTTTTTGCGCAACCACCAAATCTGAATAAACCGCTACAAACTGGAGAATTGCCGAGAAATTTCACTATTACTTCTTTGTGGTCATCAAATCGAATTTAGACCAAATCACAATACAAAACTAACTATATCCATACTATCCGAATCACCCTGTAGATGCTCCTTTTGGTCTAAACCAGTAGTTTTTAAAATGTCTGTACTCACCAGATGTCTGTCTCCGATACCTGGAAAATGATCTCCAGATTTGTTCTTCACATCGCGACGGTGTGGCCAGACCTGGCGGGACAGAGGGTTTATTGTATTTGAGGGTTGTGTGGTCAAGGATTCTTCTTTTTCTTTGCGTTCCCATGCTAGACCTCTGGGCCAATCGACATCATGGATACAGATCTGTATTCATCCATCCATCTATCCTTCCATCCATCTTTACATACACACATACACACTCACACGCACACACACACACACACACACACACACACACACACACACACACACACACACACAAACATACACACGCATGTATACACACACATACACGCACGCACACACACGCACACACATACACACACGCACACACGCACACACACACATTAACTCATATGCTCACCTTGTAGCAAGATAAAAACCAGAAGAGCTCGGAAAGATGACATTGCTGATGTCTAGATTTTTTATTTTCTTGTGTCTGTAATAGAAAACAAAACCAAAACCGAGCCGGTAGATAACAAGTCTGTTGTTTTTCATTGAAATATTCATTAGGTATTCACGTTGACAAAAAACCCCATCCATCTGTAATTGGTAAGTGTTTTACGGCGCTCACAACTGCATAAGGCTATATGAATGTGCGGGACACATTAAATTTTAATTGTTCACTTGGTTAGAAATTTTGAATTTTTCCCCTTGGCGCCGAAGAGTACTCTTATTGATTTGAGACCACCAAGGGATCTTCAACGAGCCCAACTTGCACACGGAGGTGAAAGGAGACAGTTTTAGAGAAAAAAATAAATTTTTCGGTCGGTACCCGTTTTCGAACCCGGGACCTTTAAATGAGAGGCCAACACCTTAACCTCTAGGCCAAGAGAGCCCCCTAAAGATAGTCTAAATACATGTTTTATCAATAATTACAGAAGAGACACTCTTGCACAAAACCTAGGGGGTTGGGGAGGGAGAGTCTATGGTCGGTAAACGTTTTGGACCTACCGAGCTGACATCTAGGCTGCCTTAGATCTAAGAAGGCCGACACCTAACACGTTTAGACAACATCAAGGGTTGGCTGATTTCAGAAGTTCCAGGGCCACAGCAAGCTCTCTCCATTTTGGCCTTGTATTTTCACAAATAAAGTCTCAACAAGGTAGCGGTCGAGCAATCGGATGTGTTCATCATGAGCAAGGAATGTGGTAATGGGCAGTGTGGATTTGGAGAAGCTGATACTGATAGTTCTAGAAAACTATCGACATTTCCAATGTCTGTAGAATATAAGAATTACTCAACACAGCAACTGAGGCAGTCCATATTTGAAGCCGTTATGGAGGAAAATGACTGCCTTGTGAACGGTGAGTTTTGGGTTCAATATCACCACACGCCGGTCCAAGTTTTCTTTTGCTTGTCAGATTTGACGCAACAAGGGACGGGTCTATTCGTCGTGTGCACTGAAGGGACGATTAATCCACCCGACCTGCTATTGAGATTAAAATAATCTCCTTGGGCGTAGCCTGTACATTGGCAACAACAGGGAGTATGGTTTATAGTTTGTAACTGTTTATAGATTGTGGAGGAAAAACAAAGCAATGGCTATCTACATACCTGCCTACCTACCTTCCTATCTGCCTACCTACCTACCTACTATCTATAGATCTATCTATATCTTTCTATCGATTTATCGATCAATCTATCTATCAATCTCTCAATCCATCTATCTATCTGTCTATCTATCTATCGATTTATCGATCAATCTATCTATCAATCTCTCAGTCCATCTATCTATCTGTCTATCTATCTATCTTCTTACCTACCTCATATATATCGATCTTTCCATCTATCGATCTATCTATGTATTTATCTACAACCTACCTACTTACTTACTATCTATCACTCTCTCGATCTATCGATGTATCTATCCATGTATCTATCTATCTATCTATCTATCTATCTATCTATCTATCTATCTATCTATCTATCTATCTGCCTGCCTGCCTGCCTGCCTACCTACCTACCTACCCACCTACCTACCTACCTACCTACCTACCTATCTACCTATCTACCTACCTACCTATCTATCTATCTATCAAAAATGAAACTACTCTTGCTAATCTTATCTCATACGTCAGTAAAAATCACAGGATTTACACCAACTAGAAGGTTTCTGTATCCATCATAGTCAAATTACACATTTAGAATTCCCCTCTGTAGACAGAAAATAGCACACAGTACACCAGTCACACAAACCTGTCGCCCACTCGGAAGGAACGGTCTTGAATGTGTACACAGTAAGGTGCTGTGTGAAAAATAAGCATGAAGATATCAACCAGGAAGTAGATTGTTCAGGGTCGCGGGGCATGTTCTTATCTATTTTTGTTTTATTTGTTTGTTTTTGTGTTTTACGGTGCTCGCAACTGCCTAAGGTCATATGAGCACGCAGGACACATTAAACATGTTCAGTTGGTTGGACATTTTGAATTTTGCCAGGGTTGCGGCCGAAGCCTACTCTAATCGATTTTAGACCACCAAGGAATCTTTAACGTGTGCAGCTTGCACACGGGACCTCCGAGATTTTTCGCCCTTGTCAGAGAAAAGCAAGGTGTAGATCTTTCCTACCTGAAGACCAGGGGTGTGGCTGAAAGACAGCAGTAAGAAGAAGCCAAGAAGAAACAGTAGAAAGGCTGCAGAAAGAGTCAGGAGCCCAGAGGATGGGGCAATGGTGGTGAGGGGGTGGGGGCAGAAAGTGGAAATGATAGCAGACGACAGAATATTGCTAGAGAGCAGGAAAGGAGGTAAAAGGAGACAATTTTAGGGAAGATAATTTTTCCGTCGCTACTCGTGTTTAAACCCCGGACCTTTGAATGAGAGGCGAACACCTTAACCTCTCGGCTACGAGAGCCCACATTCTTATCTATAAAGAGAGAAAAAAAATGTGTATGGCTTTATCGTTTTATCGCTCTGCTGAATACACGAAAGACGTAAAGCTGCATGAGTTGTACTAGTTAGGTGGTCCACTGTCGCAAACAAGAGATTGGAGTTTTTTTTAAATTAAAAAAAAAATTTTTTTTTACTGTTTTAAAAAAAATTGGGGGGGGGGGTTGTAAGTGTTTCACGACGTTCACAATTGCTTTATATATTAGTTCATATGAGCACGAGGGACACAATCAACATTTTTAGATGGTAGGACATTTTGCCAGGATTGCGGCGAAGCCTACTCTTCTCGATTTTGAACCACCAAGAAATCTTTAACGGGCACAACTTGCACACAGGACCTCCGAGATTTTTTCACCCGGATCCGAGTATGCTTGGTCATAATATTAGTGGTGTGGCTGAAAGACAGCAGTAAGAAGAAGCCAAGACGTAGCAGATGAATAAAGGCTGAAAAAAAAGAGTCTGGAGCCCAAAGGAGGGGGTTTGGGAGGTAAGGGGATGGGGGGCAGAAGTGGAGATGAAACTAGACGACAGAACATGGCTAGAGAGCAGAAATGATATGAAAGAAGACAATTTTAGAGAGAAGAAAATGTTCTGTCGCTATCCGGTTTCGAACTCGAGACGTACTGAATGAGAAGTGAACACCTAAACCTATAGACCTCGAAAGCCCCCGATCCGAGTTAGATGTATACTGTAGTGGTGAGTTTTTCTATCATTATCGAGTATTTCGGTTTTTCTCCTGTTATGTTTTATCATTCTCAGCCTGGCTTGGCACTGAGAGGCAGAGCAGGAAGTCCGCCTCCTAAATGGTCAGAATTGTGTTAATGATGGCGTAAAGCACCTTCATTACAATCTAAATTATGGAAGGCGTAATGAACATGCTCCTACTCCCCTTTTCCTCCACGTCCTCCTTCTATCCTCGCTCATCACCCTGCTCCTCCTGCCCCCACCACCCCACCCCCTTCTATCATCGCTCTTCCTTCTCCATTCTTCCTTCTCCCCTTTATACTTTCACCTCTCCTATCCTCGCTCCCCCATCCAACATCCTACTTTCTCTCATCCTCCCCCTTCTTCTCCTCCTTCTCTCACTCATCCTCCTCCTCCTCCTCCTCCTCCTCCTCCCCTCACCTTCGTTCATTCCTCCTCCCTTTCCTATTCCTCCTACCATCACACTCCCCCTCCTCCTCCTCCTATCTTTCCTCCTCCTTTCATTCATCTCCCCCTCCCTCCTCCTGTCCTTCTCCCCACCCTGTTCCTCTCCTTTGTGCTGTCGCTCATCAACCCTCTCCTACTCTTCCTGCTTCTCGTCGTCGTATTCCTCCTACACTTCTCCTCCTTCTCTTTTTTCTTTTTCTTTCCCTTCTTCTTCAGTTGCTACTTCTTCCTCTTCTTCTTCTTCTTTTTCTCCGATTTCTACATGATAACTAAAGGATAGCTATAAAACTGTTATATATCTGGCTAAGGATAACAGGACATGGCACAGATTTTGAGACCAGGACCAGGAAGGTTATGATGTTTTCAGCAACAAGCCTCTATACAAGAAGTTATAGCGAGCTGTGTTGTAATAAAACCTAGTCCGATAGATATAGTTCTTAATCCAGACTGAAAATCACACTTACTTGTCTGTTTTGTTTGTTTTAGTAAGATTTTTACGGCGTTTGCAACTCAATTGGGTCGTAATATAAATGCCGAGGAATAAAGGTGTTACAAGAGAGTGAGAAACACAAAAACCGTAGGAGGAATATAAATATAACACCATTAATTATTTGATAAGAAAGGAGAAAACCACACTAGAGCACCCGCCAGCCATCCACTTATGGAAACCATAAGTATATGGATGATTTTTGAAAACCCACATATATATATA